TTTCTGTCTGTAGTTAAATTAAAATAGCATCCTGCACGTGTAATGTGACCTTGAAATCAGGAGGCATCAATAATATACACATTGTATGTGCAAAATAGAAATTAACACAGTCCTAGAAAATCCATGAAGTCAAACTTTTGGGGACAGAATAGAAGTATAATTATTTCTGAGCCTACATATATACTACTGTAATATTTAAGACCACTTCAAAAGTGGACTTGGACTGTGTGTTAACTGGGAACACAAAGTCACTTATACTCAATCCAGTGATTCCTAGAAGACTTTCGGGACCAAATAAGATTCAGTAAATGCAGACAATCAGTTCTATTTCAGGCATCCTAAGGTAGCACCCCCCCACCCCCCCCTCGTACCCTAAGGGAACTAGAACCATCAGCTAGTGGACTAGGTGGAATATCTTAAAGACACTTAAAAAGCGTCTCAACAACAATGTTTACGTAACTGATTCCTGCCTTTAGCTCTGAAAATGGAGTCCCTGCTTGAAGTCAGGCACTCTAGTCATTTTGAAAAAATGTTACTTTAAAAAAGTTAGTAATTCCAGCGTTATCCTCATCTATTCTTCAAGCTATTACAAGTTTGGGTTAGATTCATACAGCAGAGTTTTCTTCATGCTTGGTGCTTCTATCATTTAGTTTCTTCTCTTTTGTTAAGTGACTGATTCTGTTTTCCCTCGGAGTATATTCTGCTGTCCTCTCTCAATCCCCCAACTGCCTTTACACTTATAAAAGGTTATGCATAACAGACTATCATCAATGAGCAAGTATACCAGATTAATTCAACATATAAACAAAATACATTTAACACCTTTTAAACCTACAAATCCAAAGCATAACTGATGCTTACAGTCAAAGCACATGTATATTATAGAGCTGGCTTCCTTACTAATGCCAAACAAGGATAAATAAGTACTAAAAAAAACCCAAAGGGCTGAACATTTCAGGAGCTGCGTAAATCACTGCTGATTAAGGACTGTAACTATTCACTCTCACTTCTAATCTTCAACAAAACTATCTTCCTGACCTCAGTGCAAATCTGAAGATGTCTGCTCATTTCTAGAAACATTTGTACTGAAAATGATTAGCTCTTGAAACTGTAATGCTATTCTTTGTGGTCAGAAGAGTAGATCACCATGAACTCTGGGGAAAAAAAAAAAAGAAAAAACCCTGTTCAATATTTTGCGGTTTATAATCTTTAAAATTATAGAAAAAAGCAATGTCCTCAGCTAGTATCTCAAAACTGATTTATTTCCTGCTCTATTCCATAAATAATGTCCAGCAACAGAAAACAGACAAAAAGTGATCTGATAGCTAGTTTACAAAATAGATCAAATATATTTTCTACAATTTTCTCTAAGAAAATAATTACTGCTATTGTAAATCAACTAGACCTTTGAGTAGTAGCTTGCAAACCTTCCTCTGAAAAATCAGTGATTCACATAAAAAAATTATTGTAAAAGGCTAAAAGATTTCATATAGACTTGCAGCTATATCATTCTAGAAGAACACTGTTCCATGTTTTACAAATGTCAGATTTAAAAAACCAAACAGATTTAAAACCTGGAATGCTATCGTACGTACCAAAAGAAACCAGCTGAAATTTGTAGCACTCTTGAACGGACTACCATTATGCTTACTTTCCAAGAAAAAGAAGGACTAAGCTCCCTGCCCGTTCACCGCATTTGTCACTTATGGAAACTTCTCTACTAGAGGGAGGGCAGTAGATCTTGGTGCCATTAGGACTATATTAATAAAGTTTGTTCTGGGTAGATTTTGAAGCACTCATAATTGCAGGAGATTTGGAAAAATTCCAATTGATTTTAAACAAATGCAGCTGAGACCATAGGTCCCTCATATTCTTAACACACACACACACCCTTATTCAAAGATCATCTTGCTGCTATCACCTACAAGTCAGTGAAATCTGAGCCACTACACATTTTACTGAAGTCCTGGCAGCAGGTCAACATTGCCAGTTGCCATCTAGTCCCCTGCCAAAACAGTTAGCTTAAAACACAGATTTGCTCAAATCTGTAATTTCAACACCCCCCAGAAAACTGTCAATATCAAATTAGCTGGTCAACAAAGTGTAGGTTTAAAGAAGCTGCTCCTCAGTCATTTTAGGTCCTACTTGAGAAGATAAAGTTGTGGAAGACTTATCAAATAATCTGAAGCCCATAGTTCTGCGATATCACTGAAGTAGTTAGCTGAGGGTTTTAAGAAGAAAGGGATAAACAGATCTTGTCTTGAAAGTAAGAGGCAAGTTATTTTGCTAACTGGCAAATTATTTTTGGATCACTGTATGAAGATTTCTATTAGAAGGTGAGTATACTTCATATCATATCAAGGAAACCAAGTAACAGCAAACCTCTAAATTTCTTTATTTGAGAAGAGTTTACTTTCACTTATCACCGGTGGAGATCTCAGAATTTATGCTATGAAAATTCAAACGCCATCCTAAGTTTAGTTAGTGTCATTTGTTCCAGATGAAGCATTTAAGTCAAGTAGTCTGAAACACTGAGGTAAGTGGAAGCAAGCAATAAAGTAGTTAGGATTGCTCAGTGACCTGACCTCCCCATTTATTACCATTTCTCAATAGCAACACAGGAATACAGGAAGGTATAGGTAAGCGTTCATTCCATCTTCTGAAACAAGGAGATGCTGCTAACATGATGATTTTAAATCTTATCCAACCGTGAAAATTTGCATTCTGTGCTACATGTATTAAGTATTTTTTTTTAAAAAAACCCACCTCTCGAGGAAACCATTTCCCCATTCGCTTTCACCCAATAGCCAGAAGATGCAAATGTAGGATATGTTATTTGATAGGACTGCACAACATGTGACTGAATGGCAAAGGCATGCAGCAGGGACACTTACGCAACTGTAAATAACAACGTGTATGCCGGGGGAATAGTTTGCCTACAGGCTAGGCAATAACAGACAGACATATTTAGCATTTCCTAAATTAGAACAGATTAACTTCAGAGAGTTTCATCTACCCATGTCTATAAACATGAATGTCCCTTAATTCCATATGAATCAGAATTCATGTTTTTCTTGACTTGTCAGCATTGAAACACCATTCTTTTGAGAAGTTCTGCCTCCTTAAAATAAATCAGCAGTGCACCAGTAAACACCTAGATCCTGTCTCTGTGCCAGTAGGGATTTCTGTTGTTGTTGTTGAGAATGACCTGTGATTTTGTCATGTACTCACACATAACCATAATCTTTTCCTGGACTCTTCTCTGATCAAGAACAGGGGAAAAAAAAAAATATGGGTTCTGCCACTGTTGGGCTGCTGCTGCAAGACAGTGTGAGAGATATAGGAGAGCTACTTCACTACGTATGCAACTGTCAATTGATTTATCTTTTCACAATAGGTAATACTGTTCCTTCTTTTCTGAAAGTCATAAAGCTGGAGTCTGTTAATGTGAACTGAATCTTTCAAAATCCTTCCCAGATGTGCAAAGCAAGTAACTATGCTAAAATAATTATGGTAAAATACTTTGGTAATTGGCAGTCATCCTTCTATCAAGATGATGCCTAGGTGTATCTTCTTCAAAACTGAAGATCAAATAACCTAGAGCAAGAGTATCTGTGAGAATATAATCATTCTCAAGTTTAAACAAAATGAAATCTCAAGTCCCACAATAAAGTGTGCACATAATTTTTGCATAAGTAGAGTATGATGTAATTAAGTTTACACCCACTAAGCTTATCAGTTTTGATTTGATCAATTCCTCAAGAAATTTAGGAAAAGAGAAATTGTTGCAATCAGTGGAAGCATTAGACATTCATACCATCAACTGCAGGTACAAAGTTTGCTTCCATTAACGTCAAATAAAAAGGTTTTATAGTGTAATTACACCATTGCTATTTACATCCACAACAATCATTAATGATGGCAGTACATATGCTGCAGTGGAGAAAAGGAAATAAAACAAGGGATTTCTCACCTAAGTTCCTGGGAAACAAAGAAGCCTTGTACTATCACTCCAGCTCTGGAGCTGCTTGCCCACCTGCCCCTCCTTGGCTGTTCTCCCTGCAGGCGATTCAGCTTGAGACACACAGTACCAAACCATACTAAGAACAGCTGTGCCTGGAAAGCAGCAGCAGAGAAGTACCTTGGCCCTTTCTCCCCACTCCCTTCTTTACACTGAGTAGCCAGTCACCTTTACATGAGAAAATAATAATCTACTCTTATTTTAAGAGGGCCAAAATCAGTCTCAACCTACTTTCAACAGAAAAAATTGAAAGAGACATCATTAGCTTAAAATTTCTTCCTATATACTTCCAAAATATTAAGGACTTTTTTGTAACAAGTTCTTCTCCACAATACACTTCTTACCTCTTCTCTCCAAAATACATACACATAAGAAGAATGTAAGAGGTGCAAAGGAATATGAGCTGAAATAAACTGAATAAAAGAAGACCTGACTGCTTTGATCAAAGTTACAAAGAACAGAAAAAAAGGTCAGTTAGTAGCTGTAAAAAATGTGAAGCCACTGGGGGAATACTGAGAGTAAACAAACACTATTTTCCTGTGTGTAACCAGTATAAGTGGTTGAGTACAAGCATCTGTGGGCAAGCACACAAGAGAACAGGAGCATGGTAAACCCGCATTTAATGTTACACTAAGAAGATACGAACTCACGTTCATGCTTTACAGAATTTGGTATCTCCTTGTTCAGTCACCTTTTTGAGGCTTGACTGTGGTTCTGCTTTCTGAAGCTGTCAAAAACAGTCAGTCTTAGCTGCCCTGTAGCTTCCCTACTTGCTGGCTGTCCCTCTCTGTCACTTGTGTGCTGCTTTTCTGTGTTTTTAATGGCTAGGAGTGCTCAGTGTTGAGGGAAGAAGTCTCCTTTCTTCCCTAGTCTCCTTTCTTCTCCACCAACTTATTCCCTAAAACTGCTCTTTTAGTCCTTCTTTATCACATGACATTTTATGAATTGAAAGGAGTTTTATGGTGTTCTGTAAAATGTCATGTGATAAAGAAGGACTAAAAGAGCAGTTTTAGGGAATAAGTTGGTGGAGAAGAAAGGAGACTAGGGAAGAAAGGAGACTTCTTCCCTCAACACTGAGCACTCCTAGCCATTAAAAACACAGAAAAGCAGCACACAAGTGACAGAGAGGGACAGCCAGCAAGTAGGGAAGCTACAGGGCAGCTAAGACTGACTGTTTTTGACAGCTTCAGAAAGCAGAACCACAGTCAAGCCTCAAAAAGGTGACTGAACAAGGAGATTTGCTCAGGGACTCTGAGGAAAAATCTCAAGATGGAAAATGCAGATTGTCTCAAGTTGAGCAATCACTGGGAGAGGGAAGAATGAGCAGGGTTTGAAAGAAGGACTAAGGAAAAGCCAACACACTTGAATGACATGTGAAGCAAGCAGTAATTTGTTTTCCAGTCTTATAATTAACTTTCCCTCACCCTGAGGTTTTCATATTTTTATCCTGGTCAGATTCATTGTGTTCTAATAGTCTTTAGTTTCAGGGATTGAAAAGTTTAGTCTCTTTTGGCATGCTCGATATAAAAATGGACATGGGGATGCATAGAAGAAGTAATTCCACCTAAATGTGCTGTCTGAGTCAGAGTCCGAAGAGATCGCACTGCATTTCTGGAAAAAAAACAAACAAAAAACATCATCTTTTAAAAAACCTTGTAGTTGGAGACTTAAAATTACAGTTTCAAGAGCCAGACTAGCTTATCTTAAAAGTGCCAAATGAAGGTAAAAGATTTTTTTGCTTTATACGTATTTAAGAACTCACAGGTAATATTTCTAAGCATCGCTACCGCATGTACCTATGCTAACAGCTGTACCACTGAATAAAAAGCTGTCAAAATTTGCAGATTCAGAACTTCAGCTGAATGGGATTTACCATAGCAGATGTATCTAAGCACATCTTTTTATGTGCAAGTACTTTTCATACCGACATCTCATCAAGCCAAAAAATGCCTTTTCATTATGGAAAGGATTAAAAGGTCATATACATGCAGCTCACAGAAATTTCACACACAGTTTATTGTATTCCGTGATTTTGATTATTTTAATTCAATGGATTTACAATCCAACTATTGCAGGGCAAGTGTCTGTAAGTCTGAGTTTGAGTGCTATATGGGCAACTACGGCTAAGAAACTTGAAACTGATGTGACAAACCAAGTACCCATAAGGCATGAAAGAGTTAGGGCGTGCAGAAGCTTCTTGTCTCATTTCCTCAAGAGTTTGCATTTATTCTGTTAAGGCATGAAAGAGTTAGGGCGTGCAGAAACTTCTTGTCTCATTTCCTCAAGAGTTTGCGTTTATTCTGAAAAGTTACAAGGATTTCACTGCTGTTATTTATAAACTGTTTCTCTATCAATGATTCTCAAAATGAGAACTGTCCTAAAAGGACTCTCTTAATGTACAAGTTTTGGACAGGCAACTGCTAAGAGTTCAAGGATTTGAGTTATTTTTAAAGACAGGAAAAATACATTAGGCTCACCTATTGTGAGTTTTAAAAGCTGGAAAGAGCAATAGGCTTCTACCCTACCTCTGTGTTCTATGGATGGCAGTTCAATTTGGACTGAATTGCCTGTTAAAATAAATATATAAAGTTGTAGCCAGTTTTCAAAACTCGTCTTAAAGCCTCCAGCAGTCTCTGTTCCACTTCACTGCCAAGCCACACGTATCCTTCTGCTCCTCCTCCCCACTCAGTTTCAGTTCTGAAAGGCCCCAGTCTCTCAGCAACACCCACAGCCTTACCTTCATCTGCTCTGATTCCACCCCAGCAATCCACTTATGTTTACAATGCAGTGCAGCCCATGTCTTTTCTCTTTCTCTACCAGTCCTCCCCTCACACCCTCCTAAAACAAGGGCATTCTAGACATTTGGCATTTAAGCAAAGCCAGGAGTTTGTCAACTTTAAGAACCTCCTCTGCCTGTTTACTTCCTGCTCTGGCCACACAAGATGCCTAGAGCATACTTGCAATGAGCTAGCGAGTAACGAATCACTATCACATAGCTAGCGATGTCATCATCCTATACTTGAGAGGCATTTGAAAGTTCTTGCAGGGAAGAAGCACACAACTTCCTTCAGTGTAGCACATCAACGTTGGACCCATTCCCTATGAGAAAATGAATTATATTATACCAGTTAAATTCTACATTTGTATCCCTTCCCTCGCATCAATCAAAGTGCCACAGGGTAGGGAACTTGCTATTGACATAGCAGAATTGCTGCAGCCAAGAAGTAAGCTTCCTCATTCGTGGTGCCTAGAAAACCTCCTTTTACTTTCATCCCAACTGAGAAAAAACCTCAGTATATATTAAAAATCCATTATTCATTCACCCACTAGTCACACAACTTTCTCAGCCATTCCCTAAACTTCATCTCAAGCATGTTCATAAAATGAACTTCAGATATACTGACCACACTCTACCATCTCTATGCCTTCCAAGTCGTTTAACTCCTGTATCAAATTCAGAATACTTGTCTTGAAAAGTTTTCCATAATTCTACCCATGCCATTATCCTTAACTGGTTTTTTTTCCCCATCATCTTCTAACCCAGGCATTTCTGATGCTCATCTTCTCACAACTAAATTTGTGACCTTTTTTGACACCTCACCCACTCTTCCAAATCACAAGGAATAAATAAGTAAATAAACAAATCAACCAGTAGTCAAAATCATCTCCTTTATATGAATGGGTGGGGTTTGGGGTTTTTTTGAAAGGAACCACTGTGTGAATTGCTAATTTGTCATCCTAGGGTTCAACTTTGTAAGACTGAATTTCACTCGAGTTTTGGACTATCAAGTCTAACATCCTGGTTTCAGTGTACAATACAGACGCTTAATTAAACTAAAGCCACATCACCAACAATACAAAAGAAAACCCAACAACAACAACGTGAGAAAAGAGTTAAAGGTACAGCAGCAGGACAAACAACACTCAGCTCAGAGAAGAAACTTTAATTTACAGCCAGCATAAACACCACACTGCAAGGCTCCATTGAGACCCCTGGCTTGCCACCATCGCTGCACGAGCAGTACATAAAGCTAGTTAGTTTACAGCATGAACTTCTACACAACTTACAGTTACATCTTTGCAACACAGTCACATAAGCATCAACAGTAATTGAGAGCATTATATTGTTGGAAAAGTACGTAGGCCATTAATCTGTTCTGAATCAAACAGAAAAAGGCTAGGCCCACTCTAATAGTTTTTCAATAAAAAGATACTGCTGCTGAACTTCTCATTGAAGAGATTATCCTCCTCACAGCAGCATTTCAGCTCTAGAAGACTTAAGTTTAAAGTGAGCTACTGATGCAAAAAATGTATATCATAAGATCTAAAGATAAATTTTTACTTCTTCATTTGGAATCTTTCCCCAAGATTGTGACCAGCAAAAGGTCTGAGATCAGAAAAGATTATGCAAAGATAGATATGGTTACTGGTTTTATCATCTGCAGCCTTTGAATTTGAAGAGACAGACCACTGAAAAGCGACACTGTACTCAAAAGCATTTTCACATGCACTACTAACCAGCTTGTATCTCAGATAAGGGAAGAATCAATCTTCATTCAGGGACTAGAGCAATACCACGGGTCATAGGGCCCACGTGTCTGTGGTGCCAGCAACTGGAGTGAGCAAGAATACGTATATCAGTGTGCAATCACTAGCGAGTATCAAGACAAACTAGCCCATGAGTAGGTTAAGTACCTGGGGAGCCAGGTATCAAAGCAGCTGTAAGTCTAGGGTGTTTCTCTGAGCAAGACAACCGAAGGAGTTGCTACTAAAGGGACCAGGAGGTCCAGCTAGACCAACAGCTAGAGAGACCGTAGGGCCTGGTGGTCAACTAAGAGACACATTTGTATGTATGTGTGTGTCTGAGACAACTGGAGGAGTTGGCTACCAGAGGGGCCAGGAGGTCTAGGCTAACTACTGGAGAGACTATAAGGTCTGGGGGTCAACTTAGAGGTGTGTGTCTGTGCTGGTGTATGCAAGGGGGTCTGTACCAACAACTGGCACACGGCTATAGGCCTCAGGGGCTCACACACCCAGGTACCATCAGCTGGGGAGACTGGGGATCCAGGGGCCAGCTCCTGGAGAGACAGTGTCTAAGGCCAGCTACTGGAGGGATCCATGTTGTGTATATACATTTCCCACTGTGGATTTTATTGTGAACAACCAGAGAGAGGAACGGGATAGGGTCATTGGTACTGTTTATGTTTGCATGAGTGCTGCATTGTCTATCTGCACTGCATTCCGTGACTGGCCATGCATATATTATATACCTGTATTTGTGCAGGTGCCTACTGGGAATACATGCTCAGCCTCGCTATTGGTTGGACCTTGGGACATGGAGCTGTAGCAGCTTTGCCTCCATTGAGCAACTGGAATTGGCAAATCTCTAACAGGCATACTGGCCCAGACCAAAGGCCCGGTACCCTTCCTTCTGACAAGCAAGTGCTGATTAATAGGAAAATTAACCAATAAGGACAACATCTAGTTTACCCTAAGTACTCGTCCACCTTTCAAAAATTTGTAGCTTGGGGACATCCCAAAATGGTGTATTTAAAGGCTGTTGACAGACTTCTTTATAGATGTACTATTGTTATTTGAACCCAGATTAACTTTTAGCATCCGCAGTAGGAAGGCTCATCTCCTCTTACTTTGAACCTGATACCTCCCCATTTATCTGACACTTCTTGGTTACCTGCTCCATGTGACCTACAGTTTACATAAAACAATTCTAACTCCTTCAGCACCCAGTGGTCTTTATCCTAGCCAGTCAAAGCACCATTCCTGCCTTTCCCTGAACATTAAGCATCAGATTAGTAAAGTAATTAATGTTAGGAGAGACCTCTGGCAGTCATTTAGCTCAAACCCCTGCTCAAAAGTCAGTCTAACTAGAGCAGGTTGCTCTGGGCTTTGCCCAGAAATTCTGGGTAACTCCAAGGATGGAGATGCCACAGTGTCTCTGAGCAACCTCTTCCAGTGTTTGACCGCCCTCATGGGAAAAAAGCTTTTCTTCTCACCTAGCTGAAATTTCCCATTTTCCAACTTGTGTTCACTTCTTCCTGTCTTACCACCGTGTGCATCCAAAAAGAGTCTGGTTACAACTTCTCTACACAACTCCCACTTGGAAATTGACTCTTATCCCCAGTTTTGGATCGCTCATGAACCTGCTGAGACCAGACTCCACCCCATCATCCAGGTCATTAATACAGACCTTTAAACAGCATTGGCCCCAGTGCCAGTTCTTGAGTGACACCACAAGTAATCAGCCACCAGCTGAATTTGGTACCGCTGCTTACCCCCACTTGCAGCCCAATAGGCAGCTCACCATAGCACCCCATCACCTAGTCCATGTCTCACCAGTGTACCTCACATAACGCTGTGGGAGAGCGTGGCAAAGTCCTTTCTAAGGTGAACGCAAAAACATCCACTGCTCTTTCGTTGTCTGCACGGCCAGTCCTCTCATCATGGAAGGCAATTGGGTTGGTAAGGCACAGTTTGCCCCTTGCAGCTTTGTGCTGGCTGTTCCCAGCCCCCTTCTGGGTCTACACGCAGCTGGAAATGGCTTCCAGGGAAATCTGCTCAATAACCTTTCCCAGGGATGGAGGTGAAACCAACCAGCCTGTAGCTTCTTGAGTCCTCATTGTTGCGCTTCTTGGAGTATGTCATCTCAGAGCCCATACTGTATAAGTAAAGCTAGGATGGTTTGTATGCATCACTACACATTTACCAACAAAGAAAGCCAACTGTCATTTTAGCACACACTTACCTAAAAAAGTCTTGTGCAAGTCCTCACAGTCAGCTTTTTCTTCACAATTCATAGTATCATTATCTCAGTACTCATCTTCTTTCCAGACGATATCTCTTTACCTTTATTTGTCAGCATTTTAGAAAGTAAAAAATGAACATATTAAAAATAAAACAGAGGAAGAATATTTCTCCACCCATGACATGACCTTTCTTCTCATTTGATAGCAGCTTAGGTTCCCATAGAGCTTTTGACAGAAAGCCTTGTTGAATGCCCTTGGCAACCCAAGCAGACTATCACCACCAGATTTTCCTTGTGAACATGTTTTTTGACTCCTTTTCGGAATCCTACAAGATTATTCAGGCATGATTTCCTACTGCAAAAGCCACATGGACCTCCCACTGCGTTGTATTAGTTAACTACCCACTAATTCTATTCCCTGTAATAGTTTCTCCTAGTTTTCCCATTGCAGATGTTAAGCTTACTGGTAAGTAGTAGAGGTCTTTTTAAAAATTACTTTCAAGTTTTCCAAATACCAAGTTTTAAGCAGGAGGTCATATCCACATTTAGTAGTTTGGTTGTTTAATTCTTGAGCTCCTTTAAATACCATCTGGTTCTGGCAACTGGCACCTTTAAATACTATCTGGTTTATGCCTCTCTCCCCCCCCCCCCCCCCCCCCCCCCTTTTTTTTTTTTTTTTTTTTACACGAAACTTATTCCATAATTGCTTCTACCAACACTTCAATTTGAAGAGAGATCCTTTGATACATCCTCCATACTGAAAGGTTCCAGATCAGAACTTCTTCAAAGCTCAAAGATGAACACAGATGCAAGAGGTAAAACAATAGCTTCTTTTTTTGATAAAGCTTTATTTCCAATCAGAAGATAGAAGGAGAGATGATCTAATAGCCCTACACACTCTCTAATGGGCTTTTCATTCCCAGCGTGTTTCAAGAATATTAATTTTATACCTTCTGCAAATTGTTCCTCAAACATCTTTCATAGCTGTACTGCATTTTTACCTTATCCTGCCAGAATTTATGAACCTTGGTATTTTGCTCTTGCAGACAAACTTGATCTTTAAAAAAAAAAAATGGTGAAAACTGCTTTGTGTAACTACTTCTCTTACCCTGCTATTTAGCTATGCCACACCAGTTTCTTTTTGCTTATCTTCAATGAGTGTATGCATTTTCTCCAAGACCCCCACATGGCATCTTCAAGTAGTTCCCGTGCCTCTTACAAGGATTTTACTTTTATAAATTGTCTTCAGTATGCTTTTTCATTTTAAGTAGGTTTCTCTAAAAAACAAAGCCCCCAAAGCAGGGGATTCTCAGAGGTAGAAGTGTTTGATCCTGTAAGAGATTTAAATACATTTTATAGAACAACTGCTTGACAGTAACACTTTGAACCAGATCCTGCACACAATGGTCAGAACCACATAAAAAACTGCTTCTCCATCTTCAGGTTTGTGGACTAACTGCTCCATGAAATACTCACTAACTGTGTCTAGCAATTTAGTCTCCACATCAATCATTGCTGCAGCCACTAGGCTGATCAGGGAGCAATACAACTAAGAGGCCAGAAGAGAATGAAAGGTCTCCAAAGAGAAAGAAGGGGAGGAGAACAACCACGTAATAAAGTCAGCTTCTGTGCATTTATACACCACACTGTTCATGGGGCTCCAGGTCCTGGAATTAGACATTTATCATTTTTCATGAGCTGCTGTTTCTCTTAATTTCTAACCCATGACTGCAGAGAAAAAAAATTAGAATTCAGATACTAGATGTGAATTCAAGAAGCAGAAAGCAAACAAATATCTATTAAAAGATAACAAGAAAGCATAAGCTAACTGCTTAAAATTGGCACTCAAAAATGTAAGAGAAATTAAAATTTGACTACTAAGTTTGAACAAGCCACTGCAGAGCCAAACCACCTGCTGAAAATTGACTTGATAGAGCTATGTGCATTCCTCTGTTTTGATGCAAACAGATGTTCTATTTAGATCTCCTTGCTTATTGCTTCTATCATGAAATCACTTTTCCCTTTGTGTACCCCAGGGGTATCTCCACCCCTACTTGTACCTAAGTTCTCCTCTTTACTTCATACCTTTCTAGTCCCATCAAACCATCACCTTTTTTTACCCAAGTTACAGAAGCATTAGCAATCTTCCTTCTTTCCCTCTGTGGCAGGGGACAAAGCCAGGACTTACGTACCTTCCTTCCCCTGCTGGGAAGGACTCCCCTCCTCCCTGCCTCAAGATGAAACTCGTGGCTCACCCTGCAGAGCTGGGTTTCAGTACTGCTGATGGTAAAGCACAAAATTTTTCTGCCAACTCTGTCAACACTAATCTTAAATACCTTCTTCTCCAAGACATTATAAAAGCAGAAGGCTGAGGCATGTGCTATAGAGACAACTTGCAATTGTTTAATACTTTATCCTAGGAGAAACTGAATACAAATCAAAGGGAAACAATTACAAAAGCCCTCTGAGCAGCAGCTTAAGGGAGCAGACAGAAACACAGAGGAGTTACACAGAAATGCATCTTTTCTGTCCTGTCTTTTCAGGTAGGGGGAACGAACAGTTATTTTTCCTTATCAGTTTTTGTGTACTGCTAGGAAGAGCGGGAACAATAAAACAAAGAATTTAGGACAGTTTAAAGTAGTCAATTCTGTTAGCCCTTGCAAGGCCAAACAGCTAAAAATCCAAAAGCCCCTTTGAACCTCAGCAGGGCAGACAAGCTCAGAGCTGAACAAATCAAGCCTGCAGCTCGCCAAACAAGCCGAGCAGAGATGAGCACTACTCCAACCAGCTCATTCTGTAAACAAAGCAAGCAGGTACAATGCAAAGGGAATGTGAGTATCACAAGAAAAACACATAAAACAAAAGCAAAAGAGCTAGCAAGATAGGAAGGACAGCAATGTGGGAGAACAGGCAACATCAGGCTGACAAGAAGGTAAATCAAAAGTGTACGATGTAACTTGGATAATACAAGAAATAGGAGGCATCTTTACAGAAAAAAACCCAGAAGACATGATCGTGGAAGAGAAAAAAAACTTTCCTTTTTCCACATATCCTTTTAAGCTCTTCTGTTATCTATACATATGGCACAAAGTTAAAGTCCTCTAGTCATATAGTACCAAATTTAGCTCCTGAAATGACACACAGCTTGTAATTTTGTTTAAAATATCAGTGCAACTACAATGACCTTCTTGCTATGAATACTTCCTCATTCACTTGATTTTTATATTTTGTTTGGTTTTATTTTTAATATTTTCTTTGGAACTACCTGATAATGGGCTGAAATACAAGTAGCAGAGCATGAAACAAGAATGATAAACATCTACCATTCCCACTGCTCTCCTAATCAAAGCTGCAGTTCTGTGTGGCCGCACTTAAGCTTCCCAGTCAATCTGTTTGTCAGATGCAGTCCATCAGTTTTACTATTACTCTATAGCAATGCCCAGCAGCCATTTAGATGCCTGCTACTGACCCACATCACAATGGGATTCTTTATCCCACTGTCAGATATCTGACAACTTAATCAAAAGGAAGAGAGATATACACTAATACGAAATAATCTGCAGAAATCAGAGGCAGTGCTGCAAAACCCAATGTACATTTACATGCTCGTTGACCCACCAGCTTTGGACAAAGGATGCAGGAGACTGGAGATCAAAACGAAGATTTTGCTGAAGAAGGTAAAGTGTTACAGAGGACCTGCGCTTTTTAGGAAAAGCTGTTTTCAGTTACTCTATTCATTTAGGCAGCTAAATTCTCTATTTGGAAGAAACCATTTCAACGGGCATTTTCAGGTTTTAAAAGCTTGTCAAAAAAGGCATGACCACTTTAACACAGTTGAGCTGAAGTTTGTGACACAAGTCTTTAAACGGGGACTTTAAACCTTTACTTCACAAAAAAAATGTTAAGTAGTAAAAAATACATATACACACACAAACTAATTATTTGAGGTTTCTCCCCAATAGCTTAATAAGTATTAAAAAGAGTTTTGAAGATCTCAACTTCTGAATTTTTTCTACTTAGTGTTTTTAAGCATTTATAGACCACTTAAAAGAAATGTAAAGGTATAAACACCAGTTCTTTGCCTGTATATTTGTTCCTCTTTTGTGGATTCTGTATTTGCCCATAGAAGATTTTATACAGAAATTTTGAACCTTGCACAAAAGAATCTTACCTATATTGAAAGTTCAATCCAATAACTCAACTTCGGAATAGGAAAGAGAAAGGCAAAACAGTTATGTTCTTTCATTGTAAACTCTGGGAAATTATTTCATGTTAACACATGACAATTAAGGTTTTACACTATAATTTAACTGTGAACAGTTTAATAAAGAAAGTTATCACTGTAGATGGAAGTTAAAGAGCTCTGAAGAACACTGTCTGCAATGTGAATATGGAAAACTATAAAAGTGTTAGCTTTCTGGATAAAAATAATTTGAATAGAAATGCTTGACTCAACATACCCTGAAACTGTATAAATTTTACAGAACACTAGGAGTCCAAGTATTAACAACAACAAAGACGACAAATATGTGACCACCTCTTATTTACTGAGTTGCTATTCAAGTTCTATTTTATCTACTAAGCTCAGCTTAATAAGAAAAAGTGGATCCTCCCTGGCACCAGAGAAGCATACCATCCCAGTCTTAAAAGGAACACACAAAGGAACATATTTACAACACATGCTTGAGGCCAGCTTTACATTGGATGTCACAGACATATAACACATTAAAAAAAGTTATTGCTGGTAAGAAGTTGTTCCTTTTGACAAACTAAAGTAATGCTCACAGTGAAAAATTATTGCATCTATCCTTCCTTTATTTAATAATTATAGCTTCTGGTCCTATTCAAAGAATTCTTAAATTGAGGAACAGGGAGTAGTCAAAATATCTACATCAGCATGTTGCAACACCTTCTCCATTGTAATTTTTCCTCCCCATTGTCCATAAGTAAAAAGCAAACCTCATGCTTACCTTCAAGAAGAAGGATTCAAGGAGCTATAGGCTAGTCAGTCTCACCTCCACCCCTGGGAAGGTGATTGAGCAAATTTGTCTGGAGCAGTGGATACTGTTTGCACTGACCTCAGCAAGGACTTCGGCACGCTCTCCCATAGTGTCATTTGAGCCCCACTGGTGAGACACAGACTAGGTGACAGGACAATACAGCAAGATGGCCTATTGGGCTGCAAGTGGGGGTAAGCAGCGGTACCAAATTCAGCTGGTGGCTGATTACTTCCGGTGTCACTCAAGAGCTGACAGTGATGCCAATGCTGTTTAAAGGTCCGTATTAATGATCTGGATGATGGGACAGAGTCTGGTCTCAGCAGGTTCATGGACAACCCCAAACTGGAGAAAGAGATCAATGCTCCAGAGAACAGTGCTTCTATTCAGAGCAACCTCAAGAAGCAAGAGAACTGTGTTGATAGGAACCTCATGAAAATCAACCATGGCAAGTGGTTTACTGTGAGGGTGGTGAGACACTGAACAGGTGACACACTGGAACAGGTTGCCCAGAGAAGTTGTGGATGCCCTCTCCCTGGAAGTGTTCAAGGCCAGGCTGGATGGAGCTTTGAGCAGCCTGCTCTAGTGGAAGGTATCCCTGCCCATAGCAAGGGGTTGGAACTAGATGATCTTTAAAGTCCCTTCCAACCCAAATCATTCTATGATTCTAAGTAAAAGAAAAAACTTGCACCTGAGGTGAAGCAAGAACACACAAGACAGGCTGGGCACCGAGTGGCTAGGACATAGCTCTGCAGAAAAGGATCTGGGGTTCCTGGTGGACACTGTGTTGAATAACACCAATAATGTGCCCTTTGCAAGTGAAGCAGGCTAACCAAGTATCAGGCTATGCTAGCAGGAGTTAGCCAGCAGGTTGGGGGAAGTGATTTCCCCTCACCATTTAGCACTGGTGAGACAGCATCTGGAGTGATGTGTCCAATTTGGGCCTCACCAGTAAAAGACCGACCTTGGTATAATGGGGATTATCAGCAGAGGGCTGCCAAGATGATCGAGGGGCTGGGACATATGACACAAGGAGTGGCCAAGTGAGCTAGGTTTGTTCAGCCTGGGGACAAGGCAGCAACCAGGTAGACCTCATTACTCTGTTCAATTTTCATGCGGGAGTTGGGTAGAGAAGTTGTAACCAGACTCTGTTTGGATGCACGCGGTGGTAAGACAGGAAGAAACAAACACAAGTTGGAAAATGGGAAATTTCAGCTAGGTAAGAAGAAAAGCTTTTTTCCCATGAGGGTGGTCAAACACTGGAAGAGGTTGCTCAGAGACACTGTGGCATCTCCATCCTTGGAGTTACCCAGAATTTCTGGGCAAAGC